AGCAATGAACACAAATCCCACAAAACATGATAAGTTAAGAAAATTTACCTGTGATAGATTAAGAACAAGTACAGAGTTGATCAACTCATTAAGGACTCTATAAACAGCACACAGATCTTTTTATCATACAGATATCTCTGATTTGTGTAAAATATATGGATTTGAAGGTTTAACTGATTTATATGTATATATAACCTATATGAATTATTATTGTGGATGGATGTCCTTTTCTATATTCAGCTATTTTCATAAAATTGTATGATATTGTGAGCTAGAAGGGACTCACGAGGATCAACTACTATCTGCCTCCACTCAGGATCACCCAAAATTCAAACCATGTGTCTGATGGCATTGTCAAAACACTTCCTGAGCCCTGGCAATTTGGTCCATGATCACTGTTCTGGGAAGCCCGTGCCAATGCTTGACCGCCTTCTTAGTGAATAACATTTTTCTAATCACAAAATGATGTAGGGATTGGAAGGAATCTCTGGAAATCACCTAGACTAAATACTGATAAAGCAAATTTCCTAAGAAGGTTGCACAGGAAAGATCTTAAATTATTTCCAGTGAAGGAGATTCCACAACCTGACGCTCCCCTGATACAACTCCATGCCATTCCCTCAGGTCCTGTCACTGTCAACACACAGCTGGGTTTCCTGTGATCAGCTGCAGCTGCCATGAGGCCTCTCCTCAGCCCGCTCAGCTCAGGCTGAGAACACCCAGAGACCTCAGTTGCCCCTCATACTTCTTGCCCACCAGATACTTCACAATGTTCATAGATAGCTTTCCTTAGGACACTCTCTAATAGCTTTATGTCCGTATGTTTTCATTGAAGGATGCCCTGTGAAGTCCCATGGTGAATGGCTTATTTTGTCTTTAACATCAACTCAGTGAAGATAAACAGCCAACTATTCTTACAGCCTACCCAGAGTGTGAACACTAGGGATTAGGAAAGTCTGGACATTGGTGATGCTAGTATATTTTAGCTGAAATCAAGCCCTATATCTTAAATCACATACCCTCCTTACCGAGCAGCCATATTTCATTTCTATGCATCTGATATCATAGAATGGTTTGTTGGACCTTCAAGATGAACTAGTTTCAAAACCTGTGCTATGGGCAGGGACACTTCCCACTAGATCCAGGCTGTCCAGAGGCCCATTCAACCTGGGCCTGAGCACCTCCAAAAATGGGGCGTCCACAGCTTCTCTGGGCAATCTGATCCAGAACCTCACCACCCTCCTTGTGAAGAATTTCTTGCTGACATCAAATCTAAATCTACCCTAGTTTAGATCAAAGCTTTTATCTCTTGTCCTATGACTACATGACCTTGTAAAGTCCCTCTCCATCTTTGTTTTGGGTGAACATTTGTTATTGGAAGATTGGTGCTCGCTGAGTGTTTCTAGAGATCAACAAGTGGATGTTAGCACAGTGAGGCAGTGGGCGGTGTGTTTCAGCAGCAGTGACAACAGTGACAGTGGTTTTCCTCTCCTGGTGCAGATTTTTGTAAGCACAGCATGCAGGCTCTTGATTATTGCTAGTGAAAAAAAAATAGCTAATGGTGGTGAACTATGTTGAAAAATAGTGTTTTGTAGCTGAGAATTTGCACTATCAAATGGTCTTGTGCTCTTTGTATGTCTTAGTTTCTGTGGCAGTAAATAAGTGGTATTGCTTTCAGAGCAATCAATATATGTAACAGTAACTTATCCAGAATTTATGCGAAAGTCAGCCCTTCAAAAGGCTATTGCCTAAACTCATTTATTTCTTACCTATATTCATACTGTGAAGTAGAACAGAACCAGTAATAAATGAAAAGTGACATGGTCTTCTACAATTTCTTTTTACCTTAATTAAATTGAATCACCAAAATATTCATAATCACACAGTAAGTTTATTTTTTCCAGTCAATACATTCACAGCTTTTGCTGCTTACATGATAAATATTCCACCGTGTTAATTTTCCTTATGTGCTCCCCCACTGCATTGCGATTTGCACAATTCTACAAGTGGGAACACTAGAATGAGCAAATCAGCATAAATTTCACTACTTTATCTTGTATTCAGAGACAAGCACCAGCTTGTCAATTCAATAAGATGAAGTACAAAGTAAAACACTTGCAAAATCATGAATACAAAACTTGGACTACCTGGGTAGGAAGCAAAATATTAACCTCTAGAAGAAGCAAGGAAACGAGCAGGATCAACACCATTTGCCTCTGCTTTTCCGTAGAGTAAGAAAGAAAATGAAACAATGGAATTGGGTAGACCATAAAACAAACACAAATGTAGTACCACTCACACAGACAACAGAATGCACTCATAAACACTCCTTAGACAAAGGAAATAATTATTCCCCACAATTTATTCCCCACTGTTCAGCTTTGAGAAGATCTCAGCTCAATATTGTCTTTTGGACATCACATACACATAAACACACCTTGAGAGTTTAAAGCAAATGAAGATACTTTGAAAGACTCTCTTTTCTAAAATGAGGAAAGTTGAGGAAAATTTATATCTTCATGAGAAAAAAAAAAAAAAAAAGACGAAGGGAAAAATGGTCGGACGTCCAAACACATTCATGGAAGTTAATTTAGAACTGAAATTATAAATTAAATAACTATTACCTCTTCCACAGGAGCAAGAAAAATTCTAGCCATATCTAATTAATTGCTTTGTTGTCAATCAGGCTAGGATGTGCCATTCTAATGGAATCTGTCACACTCACCCATATTACGAACCACAGATCAATACACAGGTAGGTAGAATATCCTTCCTGCTAAGATTCATGTGCTTCAGCAATAAAAACTTCTTCAATACACAATGGACAGGGCATGAGAAGACTTCTGCAGAGAGTACAAGTAAAAAAAAGACACTTTCTAGGTTTCTTACATCAATGATTTACTTAATTATCACAGGGTTTGTGTTGACTCCTTAGCAGAAAGGAGAAAAAGGATGGGGAGGGAGTGGAAGGTGAAGGGAAAAAAGACGACTCCTGCTTCTCTTTGGGGTAAGCTAGACACATGAACTGTCCTGATGCATAACATCAGACATTCCCATCTTATTGCAGCAAACCCACAGAGACCAGTCTGAGGTCCCCAGATGATGGTGATCTAAATGACCTCACCATATGGCAAGAAATATCTCATCTTCATCCCATTTTCACCTTTCAAAACTTCCATTGAAGTTCAAGCATTTAAATAGGCCTTTTCTCTTTGCATTTTGAGGTGAATACTCTCTACCAAAACAGCAACCAACATTATCAGAAATTATCAGACATCTATTTCCTTAAAGCAAGTCTTCACTTTGCTCACTTAAGGCTTCCCTGGATACATTTTAAAAAATAATAATCCATTGTTGTTAATTGCACAGAAACCTGAGCATGAGCCACCTCCATGGAATGTCATAGCTTTAACTCATTTTCACAGTCCATCTAACCTTAGCAGCTGGACTTTGCTGAGGACTGAGGCACTAAAACAAACAAGCAAGCAAGCCAGCCCCTAATTTCTGTCATTTCTGCTGCAATGGCTGTAACTTCTGGCAGACACAACTGTTGCAGCAGGGCATTCTTTTGAGGTAGTGGTAGGTACAGCTGCAACTGTAACTGCAGCTCCCTGATGACTATGATTTGCCCTCACATTTTTAAATTTTGCTAAGCTAGACAGACTAATCAGTGGGAAACTAATTTATATTTTCATATTTGCTATTCATGAAGCTTCTCGCACTCAAGTCTCATGTACAAAAAAACTGTTATTGATCCTATAAATTTCACTAAGTATTTTTAGATTATTGTTGTTGAATATCCTTTCTTTGATCCTGATATAAATAAATAAATAAATAAATAAATAAATAAATAAATAAATAAATCCAACCTCTCAGTCAGGTTACAATCAGATTAATTCATACTTGACCAAATGGAACAAGTCTGACATTAACAATATACCCACTCATCTGAAGTTTAGTTGTCCTAAACAGGGGTGAGAAAATTGGCTGCAGTGCCCTCCTAAAGTAAAGGTAACTGTTAATTAAAGATAGGTACATTTATCTCAAAGCCTAATCTTGCATTTCTTCCTTATTCTCCGTATCCTTTCTCGTAAACAAACAGCAAAAAAAAAACAAAAAACAAACAAACAAAAAACCCAACAACAACAAAAAACCCCACAACCAAACAATCAAAAAACTCCAAAAAACTGGTTTGAGCTGGTTTGTAATCGTTTGAATACTGCCAAGTCAAAGAGCTGGAGCATGTCCTGCACAGCACAGAAGCTTCCACTCCATTGCTTGGTGTTTGCTTTCCGTTTTGGACACATGGAAAAAGTGCAGGGCCTGCAGATTGACTCTGAGAATAGATAAAAACAAACATCCAGAGAATCTGCCCACCAAATACCTGTTTGTAGTTATGGTAAGATGAAAATGAAAGGAAAGAGGAAGAATCCTTTCACCTGTGTTAGAATCAATTCCCAAGAACACCAGCTATGATTCCAAGACGCTGGGTTGCAACTTACAAAGTGAGTTTAAACAAACTTACAAAGTGAGTCTCACAGCGCTAGTGGATCACAGTTTTAAGTAGCGATTGTGGATACTTGTATACACAGATTTGAAAGCATTTCCATTTCTTTCATTTTGTCCCCACCTCGATGTCACCCACAAAAACAGTGACGAACTGAGAACAGCACGTTCCCTAGCTGTTTTATTGGGCACTCGGCGCTGCCCGGCGTTACCACCGATTGTCTGACAGTTATCTATCGGCATTTCGACTTTGAGCAACAATCAAGATGAAACTAAGGATCGAGCGGTGACACCTCGGAAAACACGTAACAACAGCACTGCACCGCTAGGTTATAACCGGGTGGTTACCGCTCACATTCCACCAGCAGTAAGGGTCCAAAGCAGCCACAGAACAACCCCCGCCGGTGCTCCGGGTCCTTACACCCGGTCACTTACTCCAGCAGCGCAGCGTCACGTTAAACGCAGGCGAGTGAGGGGGAGCGGCAGGCTTTCCTTCACCTTAACCTTGACCTCTTGCAAAGCGTGCAGCCCGCAGTGGGACAGGCACACCACCTGCAGAGCTCCGTCCTCGTGACGGGGTTAGGACCGCGCGCACCGCCGCGCTCTGCCTGCCGGCGCGCTTGTGTCTGAGCGGCCGGTGGCGGCCTGTTCCGAGCGCGGCCCCGCGGCGCCGTTACATAAACAGCGGTACCTTCCGCAAACAGCGCCGGCGACGCGCCGCCTCCCGCGGGTGCGCGGCCGGGCGCGGATAAAGCCGCTCCGGCCCGGGAGGCGGGCGGCGTGCCGAGCGCAGCGCGGCGGCGCCATTTACCCGCCCGCACCGCGCCGTCGCCGACCCGCCGCCGCTCCTCGCGGCCTGCCGGCGGCACGGGGCTCCGGCGGGGCGCGGCGCCGCGGCCGGACGGGGGGGCGGCCGCCCCGAACGTTGTCGGCTGCCCTCCTCCCCGCGCCGCGGCCCCGAAGTTTCGGTGACGGCTTTCCGCGAGTCTTTTTGTTTGCGCGTGCGTCCCTTTCCGCAGGCAGGTGTCCCGCGGCGCCGCGCCGCCAGGTGCGGGAGGCCCCGCCGCCCTCCGCCCGGCTCCTCCCCGCTCCGCCCCGCGGCGGCGGGCCGGCCCGGGCAGGCCGCGGGGCAGCGTCGCGCTTCCAGCACCTTCTCCGCCTATCCCCGCGCCGCCCGCCGGCCCCTCCTCACGGAGGTGGCCCCGGGCCCGCGCTCCGCTCCGCGCGGGCGGGCCGGGAGGCGGCGCGGCGGAGTCTCGGCGGCGGCGCGGCCGTCGCGCACGGAGCCGGGCACATTCCGCACCCTCCGCCCCGCGGCCTCCCGGATGAGCGACGGGCGGCTGCAGCCAATAGGGGCGCCTCTTCCGCGCGGGGGCGGGCGGGCAGTCCCCGTCGACGGGCCAATAGGAACGGCGCTTCCTGAGCCGCGGCGGCGGCGGCGTCGGCGCGGGGAGGCGGCGGAGGGGGCCGTGGGCGGGGCCGGAGTTTGGGAAGCGGAGGGAATGGCTGTCACCGGTGAAGTCATGCTCGGTGCCTAGCCTCTCTCCGGCCCCGCTCCGCCGCTCGCCCAGAGGCAGCGGCGCGACACCCGGCGCGGTGCTCCGCCCGAGCGGAAGGTAAACGCGCCTCGCCCCGCGGGGCCCCGCGCCGTCAGCTCCGCACCGCCGCCCCGCGCGCTCCCGGACCGCAGCCCCGGCCGCCCCCCGCCCGGTACGCCTCGGTGTACGCGGCGCGAGCGCGGCGCGGGAGAAGAAAGTTTGGATGCGGCGTCGGGGGAATGAGCTCCGCGCGTACCGCCGGCGAGGGAAGGGGACCGCGACCGCCCGCCAGCCGCGCGGTACGGCCGCGGTTTTTCGCTCCGTTCGCAGCGGGGACGGAGTCGGAGCGGGGAGCTGCGCCCGGAGCCGCCCGCCCCTGCCCCGCCGCTGCTGTGTGGCCCGGGGAAGTTGGGGCGTCCTGCGGCGGAACGCGGCGGAGCCGGGCTGTCCCCGCGGGCTGCTGGCACCGGGAGGCCGCGGGCTGGGCGCCTGTCACGGCGCGGCAGGGAGGCAGGGCGGCAGGGCGGCAGGGCCGCGGCCCCGCGCGGGGCTTCCGCTGCCTCCGGTCCGATCCCCGCCGGCACCGCGCCTGCCCGGCCCCCGCCCCGCAGAGCGGCACAGACAGACACAGACAGACACAGACACGCGCGCACACACGCACACACAACGTGCGCTCGCGGTTTGGCGATCGCCTTTCCAAGCGAAAAGCGTTTTATTTCCGGTGTGCGCGGAAATTTATTTTTTTTTGTTATTCGATCGGACCGGGCTCTGCCCCGGCCGCGGGTACGGGACGCGGCGCCGCTCCGCGCCCTGCGGCGCCGTTGGAGCTCGGCACCTGGAAAAGTTCTCTCCTCGCCGGGGCGGGCGGAGGATCGGGAAGCGGCGCCCTCCGCGCTCGGTGCCCGTGACGCGGTGGCGGGGGCGCGGTGCGGCGGGACGCCGGGCTGGGCTCTGCCCTGAGGCGCGCCCCGGGGGCGAGCCCGCCGCCGCCGAGCCCCGCCGCGGTACGGACCCGCACGGCCCGGCCGGGCGGAGGAAGGCGGCGGGGCCGCGTCTCCCCGCGCTGCGGAGCCTTTGGACCGCGACGAAAACTTTCCAGAAAGGCCGGAGGGGCGCGCGGGGCGCGGCGGGGTGCAGCCCGCCGCCTCGCCGAGGCCTACGTTCCTCGGCCGGGCCGGAAGCCGCGCGGCGCTGCCGAGGCGCTGCCCTGCCCCGCGCGGGCGGCGCGTAACGGTCCCGCGGACGCCGTCCGGGAGCTCCGCGCGCGGGGCCGGAGCCGACGGCGGGCTTCGGGTTCTGCCCGCTCCCCTCCCTCCCCACTCCACAAATTTGTCATGTTTGCGCACAGCTGGGAAAGTTACGGTCCTTCAGGCTGCGGCCGAAGTTACCGTTAAATGATTTCCCCCCCCCCCCCCCCCTTTCTCCCTTCTGCGAAGCGCGCATCGTTATTAAGTAAATAGCGTCGTTCCGTGTCGGTTGGTGTGGCCGCGCGGTTCGCCTCTGCGCCGGCTGTTCGCGACACGCAGCCTGGCCGAACTTCGGTGAACACCGCTCTTTTTGTCTTTCCGTGAATACTTCGGGTAAGTAAATAACCGAAGAAAGGGAACGGTAAAACGCGGTTGGTTTTTATTTATTTCTTCATTTAGTTTATTTTTATTTGTACCGCTGGAAGTAGCGTGCGCGCTTTCTGCAAAAAGTGACGTAGGACCCGTGACACCGCATTGTGCCATTTGCAATCTCTTTTGTTTTGTTTCCAGTTTGTTCGCGTCATTTAACGTTACCCACAGCCTCTGCGGCCCAGGCAAACACACGTTTCGGAGCCGAGTTCCCTCAGTAGTGCACCAGTCCGAGGTGGGGCCGTCGCTGCCGTGTGAGCCGGGCATTGTTATGCAAAGCGAGGCACGCTTTCTCTTCGGGAGCCTAATTGCCCCCTTACTGTCTTTGACTTTGTTTCTTTTGTCCTTCTGTGATTCTAAGAGAAAAAAGATGTAGTAGAGTGGTAACATTGAAGATAGGGTTGTGTCAGCGATAGAAGGAAAGATCGAGTAATGAGCATTTTAAAATACGTCCAGAGTTGGGTGTATCACACAGAACGCGTGGACGTGACAGAGGTGAGGTTAAAGCTTCATTAAATCCAGCGTTTCTCTCGTGAGTTATGTCTCGGCTTCAGGATTGGTATTTCTGTGGTGTTTCACAGAACATACGCGCCAGAAGAGTGTGTTCAAAGCAGTCTCAGATCTTTTCTTTTGTTCATTTCTGAAGTGGTCTGTGAGCATTTCTTGTGAAGTTTGAAAAACGCTTTGACCAACACCTGAGGCTTGAAGTAGACAAGAGGAAAAAGTGCTCCAGTTAATGCTCATATGAAATATATTCTTGACAAAGGCATATATGAAATTAACATTTCTAGATATGTTTTCTCAGTTTTTGTTGATCTTTTAAGTTAAGGTCACAATGTGCATGGGAGCAGCTTTAAACATGTCTGCACTTCTTCCATCAGTGTTGATGGCCCAGACTATCAGTGTTGCTGTGAACTAGCAATCCTTAACCGAAAAAGATTTTATTCTTTAGATGAATTAGGAGATTGCTTAGCAGATCACTTGTTAAAACACTTTTTTTTTTTTTTTTTTTTTTAAATGTGTGTTCTCTCTGTACGAAGTGTTTCTTGGACATACACCTCTTTTGTGTCATTTTTATTCTTCAGTTGTTCAGTTGATCTTCCAGTGGAATGAGAAGAACAGTGTTATGACATAAAGATTGCTTGTTGTGAAAATGGCAGCAGAGAACAGCTTATGTCTTATTTGCAAGCTATAAAATAAGGAAGGGTGATTTGGAGAAAGAAGCAAGGCTTTATTTAAGCACAGCTCTGTAGTTTGCTGGCATAACAGGCTAAGAAGACTAAGACTGAAAATTGTTTTATTTTTTTCTAACACATTTAAAGTCTACTCTTCTTGTGGGTAAATGTTTTGCTCTGTGTCCCCACACAGTACAGTGTGGGGTTGCAGCACCTAGGTGAATCATTTAGAGCCAGGATCTCTAGAGCAAATATTAAGAACGCTTCTTATTATGAAAATGATGCCTTTGCCTCATCTTTGTTGGTACTTTATTTTAAATAACTTGTAGTAAGAAACAGCGTTCTTCCTTCTTTTCTTCCCCATCTAAGTAGAGACGTGTAATGAATTCCTTTCCCTCTGCCTTACCTCTAATTGTGGCTTTTGTTTTTCAGAGTCTGACATGAAGGTGATGTTCACTAATTGTCATTAATACTTGTAGAAAAGGTCACTGTACGGAAACTTAATCTGTAATCAATCATTGCTGTCATGAGTCAGTTTGCTGCACTCTGGATGTACAATAGAACCTACGTGTGCAGCAGACATGGGCTTGATCTTGGGCATGGACAGATTTGTTTGTGGTGACCATGGCTATGGGGTTAAAAGGCAGTTCTGTGAACTTCCAACTGTAACGCCTGCCCTCCTTTTCTCTTGAAGGCTGTTGCCTTCTATAGCAAATCCAATGGAAAGGGTCACATCTGTGCTTTGGCATCTCCATTGAAATCTGGTGACGTAGCTTAACCTAACTTCTGTGAACTCTGACTTAGGATGACTTCTGTGGGGCTGGCTAGTATGTTCAGCCCCAGCTGATAGGTGGTCGTTTCTTGGTGCTGTTTTAGTGTTTTGGGAGAATTTAGTCTGTGTGTTGAAGTAGTTTGAGAAGTTTCTTCATGGAAAACTGAAACAGCTACGGAGTAGGAATAGGAATTTCTTCAACAGGATGCAGACAGCCTCTGTTAGACGGCTAGATAATCAGCTAAGGCAGTGCCCAGGGGTTTTTATCTCTCACTGAAGTATCTGGATAAGCAATTACATTGCAGTATTTCTGATTCTGTGGTTTATAGTCCAAGCTACAAGTTCCCTTCCAGAAGATTTTGAAGTTACAGAGAAGTTATGTGTCTGAGTATGCAAAGGCAGAATCCCTCAGCTGTTACTGTGTTTGGCTTCTCCTGTGTGAACAGAATAATTCTGGTTTATTTTAGCTGAAGATGTGACTCTTCTGCTTTACTTATTTTACGCTGAATCATGTACACCTACTGTTTACTGATTGATTCATTAATGAAACAACAGTAGTTAAGTCCTCATAAATGTCACTGCATAGTGTCCAGTTGTGTTGTAAAACACGTAATGCTGATTTGCTTCTAAAGACTACAAGTTATTTATTTCAATTGTAACCAGCTACTGTCTTTGTGAATCGCTTCTTAAACTTTGAACGTCTTCATTTGATTACATTTAGTGAGGCAAATATTGTGAACCATTAGCGGTATAATTTCTGATTTTGCTTGGTAGTTTAAAGATAACTACAAGTTGTTATGCAGCATATCTCTGTTTTGCAGTGTGTATTTTTTTAAGCCGGCTTTGAAATCTATCTTGTTTTTGCAGATGTCTGAGGACATGTGGACCGCAATAGCTTTTCTGTGGAGTTATGGGGAGAGTGCTTTGCAGCATCAGTGTGGCTATTGCTTGGGTCCGTGTTCCCCTTTTTTTGGATGTAACTGGCAGTTTCCTTCCTTTTCACTACCTGTCCAACGCAGGGGATCTGGTTGAAAATACAACAACTGAAATTCAGTTTAGGTTGAGTCAATCACAGACAGGCAGAAGTCGAACTGTATGGTAAGGGAAACAGCTAGAAGAATTATAAATACTTACTGCTCCATCTGTTCCTAGATGCAGTGTAACTATTTTGTGCCAAAGCAGTCTATAACCTCTGGATCTTTCTGGTTGTCCAGCTGGTCTTGAATTCCTAAGTAGTGCTGATGGTTTACTGCCCGCTGTGGTTTAGTTTCAAATCCATGCCTTTGTTCACTTCGGGTTCGTATCAGGTTTATAGCAAAGTGTGTATAATGTGCTTAAATGCTCTGTGTTTTGAAAGACTGAGCTAATGTGCGATGAAAGAGCCGTATTTACAAAACCTTCTAGGTGTGAAAACGTACATGCTTATCTAACATTCCCTCTTAGCATACTCAAATTCTTTATAATGCAGACAGTGTCCTAGATCATTTGTTCTAGAAAGAGTGGAGCAAAGGGAGTGAGTATTTCTCTTCAGTTCTTAGTGTTGTGGTTCCTGTTCTATTTCCATTTTTCTAGTGCTACTTTGATAGTGATGGATTTTTGCTTGTCTGTCTGAACTCTGGGTAGTCCAGAAAAGGTTTGAGAAAATTCCTGGGACCAGTAAGAACAGTAGGATTCACAAACAGTGAATTGAAACCCATCTTGTTCTATCAACAGGGACTAAAGAAATTAGGGGATTTTGTTTTTGGTTTATAGTCTGCCTAGACTTCAGTGCTGGAGAAGGAGAGGAATGAGACATTACACCTTGCTGTGCAAATGTGAGAGAAAAGAATCTGTCCTTTCACAAGGGCTGCTCTGAAGGTAATGCCTCCTATTTTGTTATTTTGTTATGTATTTTGTTGGCCCAGGACATCAGCAACTGACATTGGTGGGAGGCAGTGAAGATAGAACCTTCCCAGCAATATTCCATTACATTTTTTTGCTGTGTGACAGATAGAAGTAGAGTTTAGTGACAAATTTAGTGTCTAATATGAAAGTGTGGATGAAGTAAAAGTGTATCCTCGAATTCCTCCATGCAGAAAAAAATGGCAAACATTGACATTCGTTGACACTTGCAGAACGTCTGTGGAACCATACTGTATGCGCGAGCACAGTGAGGCGTTGGGTGGTGAGTTTCAGCTGTGGCGACAGAAAGAATTCTGTATGAAAATTTATCTGGATCTACTGAACCAGGATGAAGCTGAAGGTGGCGGTTTCCTGGATCGCATCGTTACCGATGGCAAAACCACTATGAGCTGGAGTCAAAACAGAAGACAGAGTGGAGGTGTGCGAATCCCTCATCAAAAAAAAAGTTCAAGATGTAGCTCTCAGTGGGTAAAGTGACGTACGCTGTATTTTGGGATAGGAAAGGAACGGTCTGTTTGGATTTCGTGGAACCTGGACAAACCGTCAGCTCTGACCACTACGTCACAACGTTGCCTAAGCTGAAGACTTGAACCTGCAGACTGAGATTAGAGAAGAGGACACCTTTCTCTTGTAATGTGATAACACCAGTCTGCATACAGGTTTGAAGACTGCGGAGCACGTTGGAATGGTGACAGCAACAGTGGGTCATCTCTGCTGGTACAAATATTTGCAGGTGTGGCATGCAGGCTCTTGTTTGTCACTGCGAAAATGCATAGCTAACGGTGGTGACTGTCAATTTTGTAGCTGAGCATTTGCTCTACCAGATACTGTTGTTGTGCTATTTGTTGTGATTTCCATGCAAATAAATAGGAGGCATTACATTCAGAGCAGCCTGTGTATTTAGAATGTTCGGTAAAAATATTTGGTGAAGTAAGGATGCAAATAAATTTAAGAAGTGACATGAGGTTACAGCTCTAAAATAGCTGTGTCTTATTGGAAGTCATGTGAATGATACTGCTTACATTGGAAATCTGAGGAAATTTAAAGATTAGACACTTGAGAAACTATTAGTGTGTAATACACAGGGGAGTCTGAACCAACAGCCATATCATTTGGGACAATGAGATTTTTGTTTTGTTTTTCTTGTAACTAACAGGAGCTACTCGTTAAAAAGGCAGTCAAAACAAATGAGTTAACTCTGGCTTTTCCAGAATGTTGATTTCATTTTGCTTATTTCAGTAAAGGCACCAGAATTTATAGTTATAACAAGGTTTTCTGAATAGAACTTGGCCATTGTTGGATCTGTTTTCTTTCTCTCTCTCTCTCTCTCTCTCTCTTTTTTTTTTTTTTTTTCTTGGCAAGACTTTAATGAGACTTTTATAAGGGCCTAGAAAAATTAAATATCTACTTCTTTCTGA